GCAGGCTGAGGCTCCCAGTGCGAGGGCCAGTGCCCGTTACAGTCTTAGCCGGCCGCACAAACTCGAGTGCGTATCCCCCGCCCTTTGCTATCTCATCCGTCTCTCTTCTCATCCACCACCTCCCTCTCCAGCCTCTACCACCTCCTCTGCGCCGTCGACTCCTCTCCTCGCACCCACCTTCACCATACTCTCTCTCACACCAACTCCTCCCGCCCCTCTTCATCCGCCGCCCCTCCCGCCAGACCTCGCGATCAATTAGCCACCTCCCGCTCTCGCTCAGAAAACGCCATCCACCCCGCACCGCGCCACAATCCACCTGCACAGTCTATGCACCCTCCAGAGCCCGCAGAGAAACCGCGTCTCGTCTGGGATTGGGACATTGAGCATGCCGATAGACAAGAGGAGCGAAAAGCCGATGCCGCCGTACACGGCGCCATCCCCTTCGAGGTCGACCGAAAGCTCCTCAAGGACATCGTCCAGGAGCGCATGGGCGCCGAAGTCGCCCGTATCAAGTTTCTAGGTGCCGGTGAGTGCAGCTTGGCTCTATCTCTCCACCTATCAGAACTAAGTGCTTTGTCCGATTTTGCAGGCACATTCCACAAAGTCAGTGCTCGTATCTCTCGTCTCCGTCTGCTAACCCCCATCACCGCCGCATGCATTCCATTCGGGGTGTCGCCCCGCAACCCCGCCGCTAGGCTAGGCTCATTTGGCGGTCGCGACTGCGGGGCGACGCTCCGAGCTTCACATTGTTCTCAAACCTACCGCTCTTCGCGCGCACGTTTGCCGGCGACTTCGACGAAGCCGTCGTCACCTCGGCAAAGGTCCGCGTGCTTGGCGCGTACGCCGCCGCACCTTGGCGCGAATGCTCGTCCCGTTGCTCGCTTCCGCGAACGGCGCGGCGATGCGCAGCGGCGGGGAGGTCTTCCAAATCGAGCCGTGCGCCCCACTCCCACCAGAGACCCACTTGCTTCCGGAGTGCGATAACGCTGCGGCGCGGAGGGTTGTCTTGGCTGCTTCCATGTTCCCAGCGATTGCTACATGTGTTTGTGGAGACTGACGCCGATGCTCTACAGGGATATCTTGTTACGCTCGTCGATGCGCGTGAGGTCGTCGCGCGGGTCGCACGCCGGTTCATGCCTCGACTCAAGACCGAGTCCGAGGTCGCGACGATGCGCTACCTGCGCGAGCACACCTCCATCCCGGTGCCAGAGGTGTACCAGTACGATTCCAACCCATACAACCGATTAGGCGGCGAATACTTGCTCATGTCGAAGGTAAGCAATGTCCACGTCTCCCTGGCCGGTCTAAGAATCTGTACTCATATTCCACATGTCGTCCAGGCACCGGGTATAGCGCTGTCCAAGGTGTTCCATTCAATGCCCTACAACACGCTCAGCGCGCTCATGGAGAACCTCGCGATGATGCTCATCCCGCTCTTCGCCCACCGTTTCCCTATGATCGGTTCACTATACGACGGGCCGGACCCCAACGCGCCCGCCTCGGACATGACCTCCTCTCTCGCCACGCCCACGCCCAGCACCTACACGCGCTCCACGAACATCTCCGACGCGCTCTCCAAGCTCCAGCTCGCCGACGCCGCCTCCCTCGCGGCACCCGCCGCCTCGGACCCCTCCAAGGCGTTCCACGTCGGGCCGATCGTCTCCTGGCCGTTCTTCGGCTCCGCGCGCGGCGACCTCGCGCACCCGGACGAGATCGACCGCGGGCCGTGGCGGACGACGCGCGCGTACCTGCAGGCGTGCGCGGAGCGCGAGATCCGGGGCGTCATCCTCGAGAACGAGGGCAAGGCCGCGCCGCACCGGCTGCACCTCGACCCGGACGAGATCGAGAGCTCGCGGCACCACCGCATGACGGCGCTGCCCGACGACGAGTCGGACACGTCCGACGAGTGGGACTGGGACGAGAGCGAGGCGGAGTGGGACGGGCCCGGGGACAGGATGTATCAGGATTATAGGCGGATGCAGCGCACGACGTTCTTGGTCAGCCACCTGAAGCAGAGGGAGGAGAGGGTGCGGGAGGAGATGGGCCGGTTCTTGAGGATGATGGAGAGGCTGGGCGCGATGAGCCACGAGGAGGGCGATGGAGGAGGAGGTGGCGGTGGCGGCGCGAACGGCGATGGAGGAGGAGGTAGCGTCGGCGCGGACGAGTTCTCGCTCGACTGCCACGACCTGAACCTCGAGAACGTCTTCGTCGACGAAGAGGACAACTCGAAAATCGTAAGCCGCTCCCAACTTCTCACCGGTCTCCCCCCCGTCCACATCCGCTAACGACCGCGCGCTTGCACCACAGACATGCATCATCGACTGGGAATCCACGACGACCCGCCCGCTCTGGGCATGCGCCCACGTCCCCGCCTTCCTCCAGTCCTCCCCCTTCACCTCCAAGCTCTTCCGCGCGACCGTCGAGAAGCTCTCGCGCACCGCGCACCCCGCGCCCGCGCTCGTGCACGGCGCCCCCGTCGACCTCGCCGCCGTCGCGCGCGAGTGGCTCCACCACGAGGCCGCCGGCGCGCGCCTCCGCATGGCGCACCGCTGCATCGAGTGGGACGGCTGGGAGGAGGGCCTCGTCGCGAGCATCCTCGGCCCCGAGGAGAACGAGGAGGACTGGTTCCGCAGCTGGGACGAGGCCGCGGACTCGGGCGTCGGCGGGGAGCCGCCGAGCCATGGCGAGCTCGTCGCGGACGACGCGCATGCACACCAGGGGATGGGCCGCTCCCGTGCGGGGTCGGGCCCTGGCGAGGGCGGGCACGTTACACAGCAGGCCGCTGCGTCCGACTCCCCGCTCGTCTCGGGCTCGCCGACGCTCACCGCGTCCACGAGCTCGGGCGACGACGCGCTCAAGCGCAAGCTCGGCGCTTCCGCCGCCTTCACCGTTGGCCCCGTCACCGGGACCGGGAACGGGAACGGGAACGGGAACGGGAACGGGGCGGTGGTGCCGAAGGTGGTCGTCGCGGTCGAGAAGGAGCGCGAGAAGCTGCTGAACGCGACGGGCGACTTCTGCGGCGGGCGCGGGGGCGAGCTCGGGCGGCGTCTCGAGGCGTGGCTGTACGTGAACGGCACGGCGGACGGGCGCGTCGACCTTGGCCGGCGGTGGGAGGGCGACGAGGGCGACGAGGGGGACGAGTCCGCCCATGCGCCCGAGTCTGAGTGAGCAGTGCATAGTCGTCTGTCGAGGGTGTCGGGGGGAGTCAGTGGTGCGGATCGGGCGGGTGGGGGTCCGGGCAGCATCGCATCCACATCTATCGGGACTGGGTCTGTGTCTCTCTTGCATATGCATGTTTTCTTGTCATCGCATCCTCGTTCTGCATCCTCACGCGCTTTCCTTCCTTCCTTCCTTCCCTTCTTCCTTCCTCCACGCCCTCCCGCATCGGACCGTCTCTTGCAGCCACGTACGATATCTAATGGCTAGGTAGTTCCTGGTTCACGTCCTCTCTCTCTCTCGCGCACAGAGTTTCTCGAAGCACGCACGCATGTACATCACGTCTTTCCCGCTATTTCGTGTACAAGAATCTGAACCACATAACAGCTATGCCTTTGAGGCCCCCGCGTACTGCGTCGGCTGATCATTTTGTGTAAACACTCCTGATTCCAGCCTTGTGAGAGAAGGAGAAAGAGTGCGATGGAATGCATTGACGTCGGGAAACGCGGAAGTATACAGGCTGGACCGATCCGCCTCAGGCTACCCTAGCGAGGGCGGATAGTAACGAGAACAACAAGCAAGAGGAGACGCTGCCCTATCTCTCATGCTCACGCCGGAGAAATCGCAGCGGGCCTATGCGTGCCACGCCTTCACGATGAGCTCGGTCAGGCCTGGGTACGGTGTGCGTGTCAGCGTCAGCGTCCGTTCGAGCGTTCTGGCCCCCGTGCGGGAGCAACCGGGGAGCGACGGGAGGGACGTACCGATGTCGTTCGTGTTGAACTGGTACACGCCGACGAGCACGCCGACGGTGGTTGCGCGCAGCGCCCACTTGCTGAGCGGGCCGAGGAGGGGGAACTTGCGGGGGTGGAGGTAGTCGACGAGGACGCAGTCGAACTGCAGGGCGGGTACCGGTTAGCATGCCTGTCCTCGTTATCACGTGTGCAAGATTCGGGAGGTTCGTCTAACGCCGCAAGTCGTCTGCACCGACCGCGCAGTCGCGATGAGGACGAGTGCATGCCAAAGAAGACACGACACGCGCGTTCTGAACGAAGGCAGAGGAGACTTACGCCGATGTGACTGTGCATCACCAGGCTCACGCCGAGCAGGCCGTCGAGGATGGGATAGCTAGTACCGCTCGTCGCGAATGCAGCAACGGTGAGGGGGACAAGGCCAGCAGAAAGAAGGCGTTCGAATGCCCAGTGGTATGAACCGTGGGTCTTTGAGGGAGGGGGGAAGGGAGTGGGGTCGTTCACGGTGCCCCTGTAGATGGCTGCAGTCCAGTTGAGCTACGAGACACGCATACAGTGAGCGGTTCAGTACGTACGACCACCGGGGACGTATGCAGAGTCCGCCGCGCCCCTAGCTGTTACAGACGTCGTCAGTCATCCAGCTATAGAGAGCACGCGCATGAGGAGGGCGCCGCAGGCAGTTATCAACCGCGACGCGCCCATGACGGGGTGCGCACCTTGGAGAGCGAGTGGCCGGAGAGACCTGCGCGCAAGGGCGGCAGCGACGTTCCTGTTGGACGCAGCGCGGGCGACGAGGGCGGAGGACATGGCGGGCGATGTGGAGGATGGAAAGGACGGCGAGCACGGAGAGCGGGTTGTGGTCGTGCGGAGGAGATCGAGTCGCCTTGCAATGGCCGTCCCCTGATTGGCCTTCGGCATCCCTCTCCCGCTTTCGGCCGTCCCTTCCGCCCGTCTATGTACCCTCTCCCCCATCCCATCCGCGTCGATTGCTGCTCGTTCTAGCAGGCCTCGCAGCACTTCGTAACACTGCGATGAATAGGTTTGTCCTTACAACAGAAGTGTCAAAACGTTCAAAAATGAACAAAAAGTCGCCCATGGATATTCAGGGAGTCGAACCCTGGTCCTCACGCATGCGAAGCGTGCGCGCTACCACTGTGCCAAATGCCCGATGACGTAAGGTCCTTGCGGTCAATTGAGTCCCCTGAAATGAATTACAGTAAGAAATTACTGCTCGTACCAACCACTGCACTCGCCCTCTCCTCTCGCGTACAGGAAGTCGTTGCAAGCATTGTTCTAGTCCTGAAGGCCATCCATTGAGTTCCAAGTAACTACGCTAGAGGAGCACAGAGTATATGAGGATGTCACAGGGAGATGTCGACATGCCGCAACGTATAGAACCGAGCTACGACACTTCCTAACCTGCTTGAGCAAACAGCCTTGATCTCGAGAGAACAGGACTCAGACGAGTCACTGGCACTGTCTCGATGGTAGAGCATACTGGCATCGAGCAGCGTGGCATATCTCTCTGGGTGAAGAAAAGGAGGCGCAACAGGCTGGTCTTTTATACACCTCCGCACGTGGCGCTTCTCACGGATTTGATCTGTGCTCGACGTCGCTCAAGTCCCGGGTTGCGCTTGTGTTGTGCGAGGGCTGGGCTGTACAGAGTGCTCGCCGCCTTCACGAGGATCGGCAGCCGAAATAGAACAAGAAGTAAGGACGGCTTCAACATCCAAGGGTTCATAAACCGCATAGGTATCGTGTATGATTACATCGTACTGCTACAATACAGTGCATGTCAATAAGTTAACAAGGCCAAGAGGTGTTCAGGCCGGAACTGCCGATACACTCGGCGTCGCGATGCTCACGCTACCAGCTCGAGCATTCTCGGGCCGCGCGAGCAGCGACCTCGGCTCGAGCTTGAAGCGAAACTTCGCCTTGACCTGCTTCCTCTTGACGCGATCCTTGCATCGACTGCACAGCGACCCGTGGTGGCCCAGAGGGACGAGCCGCTTGCAGTTCTTGTTCGTGCACGGTGCCTGCACCCATCCCATCAGCACGTCGCGCAAGCACAGGAGAAGAACGAGACGGTCATCTACATACCCGCTCAGGACTGATGGTCTCCAGCCCGTTGCTCGTCGAAGCCTGGATCAAGCTCGTGCTCGCCGTATCCGTATCCGTCGTGCTCGGGGACGACACCCGCGGCATCTGGACGCGGAACTGCGAGTACGCGCTGCCGGACTGCGCGTCCACGACGGGCTCCTTCTCGCGCTTGCGCTTCACGCTGAACGCGGGCCGCGCGCCGTCCGTGCACGGGACGCCCACGCCGCTATCATAACCGTTTTGGTACGTCTCTTCCGTACGAATGATGAAGGTGCCAAACCTTTGTGGCCGAGCCTGGCCCGACGGCTCGCTCGACGACGACAATGCTGCCGCGTTGCCGCTCGCAGGCGCGCTAGCCTCGAATCGCGTCGGCTGGCTGTGGAAGACGCTGTACATGCCTTGCGGTAGTATGGGAGCTGGGTATGGCGGCTGCACGAGCTGCTCCGAGGGCTGTTGATCTTGTCCTGTTGGAGATGCTGCGCCGTTCGGCGGAGGTGGAGGAAATGCGTGAGGGTACGGAAAGGGTGGCAAGGGAGCAGGCCATGCTTGACCCGGCTGTGGACTCGCTTGCGCCGATGGGGGAGAATTTGCTTGACCAGGGGTTGAGGCAGGATACGGTTGACCAGGCGTCGGAGGATATGGCGGTGGCGGGGGATACCCGAACGGTTGTCCGGGATACCCATACGGATACATGCCGTACACGGATTGGTACGCCGGAGGAGGAGGGTATTGTCCTTTGGCCTGCGGGTACGGGTATGCATAATTAGGAGGCGGCGGGTACGGGGACATATACGGCGGCTGCATGAAGTACGGATATCCGTTGGGAGCCGGCGGGTAGGGAGGTGGTCCTGCTGGGGTCGTGTCGGTGCCTGCAGGGTTGTTTGGTACGTTTGAAGAGTTGGTTGTGTTGTTGGGTGCACCAGTTGATTGTCCCGCTGTCGCCTGCTGCTCGGTGCTGGACTGTGCGGTCGCCTTGGCTTTGCCTTTACCTTTCGCCTGTTTCCTCTGTGAAGTAGGGGAGGCAGACGTCTGTGGATCAGTGGTAGCGGCGGCAGAAGCTGTCGCAGCACCATCTGCCTGCCCCGGCTGTATAGCACCAACGCCGGCTGATGGCACAACCGTTTGCTGAGCTGCTGCTGCCGCAGCTGCAGCCAAAGTCGCGGCTAATTCTGACAGCTGCGTTCGATGCAAGGTTAAGCAGGGCTGCCACCGAAGAGGACCATATGAACGCACCTTTTCGTAGCGACTCTTCATCTGGGCAGCCTCTTCTGGAGACACAGGGTCCACGAACAGAAACGCGGGTCGTTCGGGTTCAGGAGGAGCGCTGTTGAAGACCGTGGTGGATGAAGCCATCGCCGCAGCGTACTGCTCTTGTTCTGAGAGCTCCGGAGCAGAACCATGCGACTCTTCGCCCACAACCTGCTGCACAGACGCACTGGTCTCTCCAGGTCCTGTCATATCGGCATCCGCAGTGGTACCAGAACCAGAGGCCTCGGCTTCTGGGGCATCGGGAGCAGTAGAAGGGGTAGTGCCCTCACCGTCACCTTCGCCCGCCGCCGTGTCCTCCTTTCCCTTCCCCTTCTCCTCCTTTTTCTTCTTTTTCTTCTTGCTCTTTTTCTCGCCCTGCGCACCAGGCGCCGCGCTCCCCCTCGGCGCCTTTCCCTCAACCTCCAGCCGCACCCTCCATATCTTGCCCTCCGCGAGCTCAGGCGGGATCAGCCCGCTGTCGCGCAGCGCCTTGAGCCGCCGCCCCGCGCGGTCCCGCGACCGGCACAGGTCGCACATCTTCCACGGGTTGCTGGGCGAGAGGAGGTTCGCGCACGCTCGGATGGAGCAGACGTGGTTCGTGCGCCGCGTACCGCGGGCGGCGGGCGGCACCCCGTGCGTCGGCTCGCCGAGGGGAGTGTCGTCGACCGGTTGAACGTCTGCGCCGGCTGGATCTGTGGATGAGCTTGCACCTGCGCCGTTCGTAGTAGACACGCCGGATTCGGCAACGACTGGCGCCACCACATACTCAGGACCCATGCTCGCGTCCCGAAGATGCTGTTCGATATCGGCCAGCTCGAGGTGTTGGCTGGCCGAGGCAGACGGGTCGGGGCTCATACTCTCCTCCTCATGGCGTTCTCCGTCCACACTACCGACGCTAGCGCTCCGCGCACCCACTGCAGCGGCCCACCCGTCATACGCCTGCGCCTTGACTTCCTTGTCACGCACTCGCTTGAGCTTGCTGTGGTGGCGGTTCTGCACACGGTGCTTTTCGCAACGCAGGTACTGGTACTCTCCAGGGAGGATCTCTCGGCAGTGCGAGACCGTACACATGCGGGGCGGACGCGGAATGGGCTGCCCGTCCGGACCGAGCTCAGACGACGGACCTGCCCGCCCCTCTTCCGGCTCATCCGTGGTCGAACGAGCGTACTCGCGCCAGATCTCGTCCTCAGGCGGCGGAAGCGGGAGCGGCGGGAGGCCCTGCAGAGCGCGTCGCTTATCCTCTTCCTCGCGCAGCTTCTGCAGCTCTTGCACCGCGAGCTCCTTGTCCTTGCGCCATTTCTTGCGCTTCGTGGTGCCGTAGTTGCGGTACCTGTTCCGGCAGGGCTCACACATCTTGAAGAATGAGTTGCCCGGGATGAGCGTCTTGCAGCCCTTGATGGAACAATAACGCGGCGGCAGCTGCCCATCGACGGGCGGGACGGTGGCGCCGACGGGCACTGTAGGTCCGGAAGTGACGCGAGTCGTGAGGTTGAGATTCGGTACGGACTCTAGGACTTCCGCTAGGACGGGATGGATCTCGGGAGCAGACGGAGGCGGAGGTGGACCTGAAGTATGCGAGTAGTGGGATTGATATTGCGGTCGCTGCTGTGGCGGATCTGACGGTTGGACATGTGGAGGCTGTAAGGGAGGGTGTGAATGGCCCTCCTGCTGTTGGTGTTGCTGTGGGTGAGAATCTTGCAGCTGAGGCCCGCCGTGCGGATAGTAGCCAGGTTGACGCGGTTGGTTGTCCGCAGGTTGCATGAGCGGCAGGGTCAGTGCTCCTGCGAGCTCGGACGTCTGCGAGAAAAGACGAGGGTCGAGCGCGCGAGGATTCCAGCTTTGGGAGAAGTCGAAGGGCTGAGTATGTTCCTCCGTAGAGTGAGATTGGTGCGGTGCCTGGACGCCGTCAGTTAGCAACGGCAGACCTTGGCGGTATGGCAAGAGCTTCGATCCGCTGCGAATCCGATCGACGCAATCGCAGCGGGAGACTCAATTCGCATACGTCCACGAGTTTGCAACATATGTATATGGAAATGGGACAAGAGGTTATGCTACTCACCTCGTATGTTCGCGACGGGCCTGCAACCGGTTCGGCAGGTTGCTGAGGAGCATCCCTCTGCTCCTGAGAGATCTCGTCGTCAGGCATCCAGACTACAGGCTGGCCCGTCTGCGCGTTATTGAGGAGGGCCTTCTCCATCTTGCGCTTCGCGCGTTTAGTGGACGCGTATATGCGGTGGCGACCGCGACATTGTTCGCACATCTTGTGAGGGTACGCCGGCGGAAGGGGCGCGGTGCATCCCTTCACCGTGCACCGTTTCGCGTCGGCCAAGTTCTGCAGAGGCTGAGGGGTATCCGGCGCGAACGCATGGCTGCTGCTCGGTGCATCTTGGACTGGGTCCGTGAAGCTGGGCTGAGCAGTGACGGGGGGAGGATAGGGAGGAGCCGGGCCAGAGTTGACGTTGGGGAAGGAGACGTGCTCGCGATAGTAGGAGCTCATTCGCAGGTGGTGTACTGGGCCGACGACTATGGCACTGGCGCCAGACGACGGAGGCTGGGATCAGGACAGGCTGAGGATTGCCGTTCACGTTCGCTGCAGACAGCTGGCCACTGGCAGGTCTGGGACGAACTTAAGCAGACCAGTCTCAGTCTGTCACAGTCCCCTCTCGCGCACTCACTCCGACCCTCCCACGTGGCGGCGTTTCACCCTCAATCGTCCCCACACACTGTGACTTTTCTCTTTGTTGCTCAGAGTGGTGCTTTATAATGCGCATGGACATGCCATCGTATACAACAACTTCTCTCAACTGGTGCAGGAGACG